GGGGGGGGGGACAGAGGGGAGAAAGCGAAAAAGGGGAAGATGGAACGGTAGAGAGGGAGAACTATTAGAAGGGAGGGGGCATGCACTCATACCATGTAGCAATACGACGTTACGCTTAAGTATGTTTCCGCTCCTCGCCAGGTGGAACGAATTTGCGGGAACGCCGATGGAGGCGCCAGTTGACGGTTCTATTACAACAGAGAACATATACGGGACATTTATCGCTATGACAAATACAAAAGAGAACTCTAGTGCCTATGAATAATGAAATTAATAAAACGAAACAGGTTCAGAGGTTTCAATATTGCTATTACTGATGGGAAGGATTATGAAGTACGCAGTTGAGATGGCCTCAGGTTGTATGATATACATAACAAGTTTCATGGAGATCATTACAGGCATTCAAGTAATCTTTAGTTATTGCCTCAAATATCTGAAAGTCTATAATATTAGTACTACTGTTTGGAAGGATTTATGTAGTAGGCGTTGAGATGCCATCAGGTGGCGTGTGTCTACATACGAAGAAGAGTCATAGAGATCGGTTCAGGCGTTCAGAATTTGTTACGGGTAGATACATACACAGACATACAGACACAACACAGAAAACTAGGTCATCTCACAAGCCTGATTTTATTTTTTAAATAATGAAATATGGCTCAAAAAGAGGGAAACAATACAGGGCTGTAGGACAGATACATACATAAGATACGTATTCTACTACACAGTATGTGCAGAACAAGCATAAATATGTAATAAAACTGAATCTAACAAAATACTTTAAATACATACCAACGAGATTAACCAAAAGACTGATGATAACAACACGCCTGACACACACACATGGTGACATTGCCGTTTCCTTCATTCGCAGTTAAGACGCAACAAACAGAATGACGTTTGTTAAGATAAATAATAGTAAAATCTGTATTGAAGTCTCTGATATTTCTGACTGGAACCCTGATAGCTACAGCTTCGAAAGGCAATTAGTAAGACCGTTGTAAACATTCCTAAAAAATTCAGCCTGAAAATAAATCTTTCTCGCAAAAAAAAAGTGCAATTTTATTATATCGGAAATATAATTATACCTATGGGTTATGATTTCTAAGGAATCTCTCGTAACATAAGGCAGAAACTTTCACTGACCACGTACGGGTTTGCCGGAGTCAGTGCTGGTCAGAGAACACTAGGCAACGGAAGCATGTTCAGGTTTTCGTTCTGGCTGGGTTGAAGTAAAGCAGCAGAAACTTATCTCATGAAGAGAATGTGCCAGATCCGATTGTTCGTTTTTCCATCAGAAGATGTACAAGTGAATCTATGCATGTTGCGATGTGAGAATATTTTACTACTAAAAACTCGTTTTTTTTTTTGGATCTGGAAAATATAATTGCACTAATTTCTGTATCCTTGCTAATTTCAAGTAATTTCTCGTTCCAAAATTTTTGTTTTAAAAATATATTCTAGTATGTTAATTTTCTATAAGAAACTTTTCTTGTGATACTTAGCGAATTAATTGAAGGATTCCATGGTCAAAATCCTCACCGAGGCCGTCCTTCGTCTCGTCAGTTTTATCGTCCTTTTTTATTTTCCTGGCACTACAGCCCCAGTGGGCCTAGGCCTACCTCCATGAACTTCTCCGTTCACTTCGGTTTTTCTAGATCTTACACATTCGGTAAGACTCCTTGGGCGGGTGATCAGCTCGTCGCAAGGCCTCTACCTGTACACAAACACAGAAAAACGCACACACAAAAACTAAACATCCATGCCCTGAGTGGGATTTGAACCCACGATCCCGGTTTCCAAGCGAGCGAAGACAGTACATGCCTTAGACCGCTCGGCTACCGTGACCGGCTTATCGTCCTTTAGGACATGAATATTCTGAGCGATGATATCACACCAGCGACCTCTTAGTATTGTGTACGACATCCTATCACTAACACACTCTAGCCTCGTAACTGCTGATATGATTCCCTTATGCACAAAAGTTCTTTTCCCTAATTTATAGTTATTTTTCTCATTTCCATGGTAACATTTATAATCGCCCGGTACTTCAGTACCACCCCTGTCCCATCTGATTTTCCTGTTTTTCACTGGCTGTACAGCCCCCCTGGGCCTTGGCCTCTGATTTTCAGTTTCATGATCATTTGGACGAGTGATCAGCTCTACTTAACACAGGACAACACAAACACAGAATAAACACATACCAAACATCCATGCCATGTGTGGGATTCGAAACCACGATCCCGGCTTCCGAGCGAGCGAAGACAGTACATGCCTCAGACCGCTCGGCTACCGTGACCGGCCTCTGACTTACTTTATTTCTCCTAAATTAAACGTATACTTCGATAATTCTCTCCAAACTTCTGTCAACGAGCCAGACCTATAGTGACTTCTTATATTCCTTGTGCCAAATATGTCAATTTTCCAGAGCCTAGGTCGTTCCGAAGAATTCATCCAAGTCCGAAGCCCTGTGTAACATTTTTATAGCGAGAAGTTTATATCCCCATGCCCAACACCCTCAAGCCACAGGATCGCCCCTTGTCGTCTCTCCGCGGCTGGTTATTCATTAAATTCGCATGGACTGTAAATCCGCAATACGAGGACGCGAGATACCATGGGGACAAGGGGCCCACTTTACGTGGGTACAAAAATATTACACACAATCATGCTGACGAAGCGACCACCGTAATGACATATTTGCTGATACTAAAAATCCAATGTACATCATCATAGGTCTACCACACAGCAACCACCACATTTAGAGCAACTACTACCTACCAACCTCAACTACTTAACATTCCAGTCATGGTGCTGTGGCACTTACATGCAAAACAGACCGCCGCAAGGACACACATCACATTACATCAACACTCTAAGTAGGCGTACCGTCCACTCTCAGAATATTTCTAAAAGGAAATGCACTGTAACTCGCGACCACTTCGGCCTCTGCTTCCGGTCTGCGCTGTAATACTCTCCACATCCCTTCCTGGCTACACACCACAAGCCGAAATGACAACTCTCCGACTTCAAGAGGAACATACCGCATGGAAATGTAGGTTGGTTTCGACCCACTTTAACACACGACTCGTGACTACACTTAATTAAAGCGCCATCGCTGATCTACATACTTTACAAATCACTACAATACACGCTAAGACTTCAGTCTGCTCTTTCTGCACCGCTCGTTTCCTGGTACTGGCTTCTGACAGTGGAGATTCTTCAGCTTCCGCGCTCATTTAGTTACTAACTTCACTGACTAAGTTTTCTCTTCACAGACTCCCTTACAACTTTCTCACAACTAACTTTTAAACTTGTCTCGATTATATCTTCTCAGAACTGACCGCATAGAAAACATCGTTCATTGTTGTATTCCAATTGTCTCTATGGGAACGTGCTTTTGCGGGGGCGTTACTCAGTAACCGCTGCGTATATTTTCATATTACGAATCTGTTGCCTGGCGGCGAATGTTTTTTCGTTGTTTGTCTTGAGGTCGTTACCCAGTAACGCGTCTACGCGATATAATATATATTATAGAGAGAGAGAGAGAGAGAGAGTCGAAAATATTGTTTGGTTGATTTCAGATAGGTGTGTTTCGTTTCCGCATGCCGTCAATCTGCTGTCGAGCATGCGCAGAATACTTCAAATCAAGTAGATATCGGGTTCGAAGCCATAACATGGATTGAACAACGATTTAGTTAGTGCGTAATTGCTAGGTATTGGGTCTGTACAGATGGATTTGCATAAATAAGTCAACTTATAAGAATATTAATGCAGGACATCTGTATTTGTTAATCCTGTAACATTTATTATAAGCATCATTTTATCATTTTAACAATCCGGGAGTATATAATGAAATGTATTCAAACCGTTAAGTAATGTGGGTCTAAAAGTGAACTGAAGTGAGCGAAACTAATACGCGGTAATTCTCTGGCAATATGTCACGTGTCATGTTGCATACGCTTCATAAGAATTGCGAGAACTGTAGGCAGCCTGCGGATAATTCATTCCCGGTAATGTGTGAGGCTACCTCCATCAGGGTTAACTGGCACCGAGGTTTAATCTGGGGGAACATGCCAGACGGAGCACTGAAGCTGACAGTCAGTGTGTGCTTTGATACCATAAGTAGAGGGAAGGGAATCCAGTGTCTGATGAATGTTATATAGTAGGCCTTACCTACGTGAGACGTCATACAAAACGCGACTGAACTTGCAACAGACATTATGATACAATTGTTTGTAATGTAAGACCAAGTCTTTATATGACTATGCCATGTCTGTCAATCCGTGATCTGGTCACATCGATGTTCTTATGGAAACGATTGTTTTGGAAGGGCCAAGTTGCCGACAAATGTCTTTAATTATTCAAAAATGTTACTGATTATTTTTTAATAAAATATTTCCTCACTTCACGTTGCCAGCAATTATATTCTTTTTCAAAACTGTTACAAAAATTAATTTTGTTTTCAACAAGTTACATCTTAGACTACTTTTTCGAATTCCGCCCAAACAGTAATATGTTTAATTTGATTGTAATGTTCTTTTCACAAATAAGGATTTTCCCCATAACACGGTTATCATTAATAAATATTCTTCAAGAACATTGCTGTATTTTATAACACATATATTATTGTTTTCTCCATTTGTATATAATTAAAAATTAAATTAAATTTAATTAGAATTAAAAATAATTGCTTTTTCTTGTAAAATACATTGTTTTTTCAGTACAATTAGGACATATTTTCCTTGTATATTGTTGTCAGTTATAAAATCAGTTTAAAACATATTTGGAGGTTTAATAAGACGTATTTATTATTTTCTATACAAAAAATTATTTCATCCTTTTACATTGTCACCGGTTGCAAAAGTTCCCGAAATCAGCAACTGTATTGAATAAG